ACACACAACTGTACAATTAGACTGAATCCTGGAACTTGTGCTCCAATTAGCAAGATGAGACTATCTTTTCTACTGAACCAGAACTTGGAATGATATGGACCCCTCACAGAGTTCAAACATGACACCAAGTTGGTGAAGGCAGAGTAGAGAGATTCAATCTTTATGACGTTTTGATTCTCCAGATCAAGTCATGCCTGGATTTCTGTTTCCAAAGCCAGTAAACTCCCTTCTTAGCATAACCCAGTTTGAGTCAGATTTTTGTCATTGGTATCAGAAAGAGTCTGCAATTCACACGGCGAACTTTCTTAACCTCTCTATAAGCTTCAGCTTCCTCATCTGCAAAAGAAGGGATCTTTCTCAGGAGAAAGGGAGGGTTGTTCTGGGATGATTAAAAGGATTGATCAGGTCCAACGCTTAACACAGAGCCTGACACATTAGACCCTCAAAAAACATCAGCTTGTAGGTGTTCCAGAAGTGTTGGCTAGTGACTCTGGCCCCTGGAGGTGAACTGCAAGGGCCACCTGGGGGGGTCCCAGGAAACGCTGGTAAGCTTGTAGGGTGGGGGTGAGGCCTGCCTGACCCATCCAGATGACAGCTGGCACCAGGAAATACTCTGGCGGGTGTCATGATTACTTTTCCTCATCCTCACAGTCTAATCAAGCCCATTTCACAGATGAGGAAAGTGAGGCCCAGAGAGGAGATCCAGGGTAAGGCCAACTCCAGCGCCCACTCTGCTGGCTCAGCCCCTCCCGTGTCCCACTCCTTGCCAGGTCTCAATCCCAGCCAGGCTAAGTTAAACTGGCCTGTTACTATAAAATGCGTGCTTCCATGAATAATGAAAGGGCAAGATAATGTCACAAACCCTCCTTCCTTCCGGAGAAGTCGGTTCCCCGTTCTGACCTCCTGTCGTCCAGGCGCAGTCACCAGTGAGCAGCGGTTTACCCCCCAGAGAGAGCCTGACGCAGTTCTGCTAAGGAAACCACGCAAGTCTCACGGTTGGCACGACCCTTCCTTCCGCACAGGGCACAGGGCGCCTGGGGGTGGGGGTGGGGTGGGAACGGCACCGCCCACTTCCCTTCAGAGAACCACCAACCCGGCCAGAGGGTTCTCACGTCTAGGAACTGAGCTCACCTTGGTCTTTTCTCTGTAGCCTCCTTGAGCCTCAGTTTCCTCATCTGTAAAGTGGCTCCCAGAGCCCTGGCCCGTGTCTCAGTGAGTTAGAATGTGTCTCCTGCACCGAAGGGTCACGGGTTCCATTCCCGGTCAGGGCACATAACAAGGCTGCGGGTTCCATCCCTGGTTGGGGAGGCAACCCATTGATGTTTCTCTCCACCCCTCCCTCCCCCTTCCTCTCTCTTTCGAATCAATGAAAACTATATCCTCTGGTGAGAATTAAAAAAATAATACTAATAAAGTGGCTCCCACACATCTCAGGGTCGTTTTGAGGGCATTACAGCAAGAATGACTCCCTAGGTCAGTGGTTCTCAACCTTCCTAATGCCACGACCCTTTAATACAGTTCCTCATGTTGTGGTGACCCCCAACCATAAAATTATTTTCGTTGCTACTTCATAACTGTAATTTTGCTACTGTTATGAATCGTAATGTAAATATCTGATAGGCAGGATGTATTTCCATTGTTACAAATTGAACATAATTAAAGCATAGTGATTAATCACAAAAACAATATGTAATTATATATCCAATGTGTTTTCCGATGGTCTTAGGCGACCCCTGTGAAAGGATCGCGTCCTACAGGTTGAGAAACGCTGCCCCAGGTGTTCAGCACAGGGACGGACCCAAATAACGGTGCTGGACCCCTTCCAACAACAGAGAGGACGGCCCGCGTGTGCCCGCCGCTGCTGCAGCGGGCAGAGCGTGGTTTCGAACTGGGGTCTTATTTTACTGCAAGACCACACGACCCCCACCTCCAGGAGCTCCGGTCTTTTGCCAGCGGGATCCTTCCCACCCTCTTCCTAATACTTTTACTCCTCGGCTTCCTCCTCGGCCCAGCAGCCTCCGCCG